GATGCACTGTGCAGGGTATTGCTGCTGCTGAAGTCACCTGCGCCGCAGATCCGGGCTGCAGTGGTGTGCATACCATGCAGTGTAGTATGCCCACTTTGCTTTAGGGTAGAATGTGGTCATATGCTAGTCAGTGAGAGAATGTGTTAGTATTAATGTACGTTTATACATTAAATACTATGATATTTATAATAGTGATTATAATGATAATATACTGTGGTTATAGATATTAGAGTATTGTGTATTATAAGAGAAGAGAGAAGGATTTTAAACAGAGTAGATGGCATGATTAGTACCTTAAAGATCAATCTGGCTACAGTAGGAGAGATTGTGGAGGGGATGCACCGTGAATGTGGGTTAGGAGGCTGTTGCAGTACTCTAGGCCAGAGAGGGTGGCTTGGAGAGGGTAATGTCAGTGAGGACGGAGAATCGGAAGGATTTGAAATATTTTGGTGGTAAAATCGACAAGTTGCTTATGGTTTGGTGTTTGGAACTATTCTGAGGTTTTGGCCTTCAGACCCGTGTAACTCACTGCCTGCACAACATTCCGATTTGGATCCTTCCAGGGCACTTCAACTCAGTATGTCCAGGAGTAAAGTCAAGTTCTACTGAGTTGAAGTGCCCTGGAAGGATCCAAATCGGAATGTTGTGCAGTCAGTGAGTTATGTAGGTCTGGACTCAAAGGAGAGGTTTAGACAGGAGTCAGATGTTTGGGATAGTTAACTTAGATGGAGTTGTAGATGTGGGTTGAGATTGTTTACAGAAGTGGTTCTCAGTGTTGACTGCACATTGGAATCACTTGAGTGTTGAAGAAATATCCCTACCCGACTCTGATTTAATTAATTGGGCTACACACACACACACCCCCCCGAGAGCACTAATGTGTAGCCAAGATTGAGACCCTTTGGTCTAAAGAGCATGAGCTGAGATTAGGACAGGGCTGGGACTGAGCCTTGAGGGACAGAAGTACTGGCCAGTAGGGAAGGGTGAACTTGCACAGGAGACTATTTCCTGCTGTCAGAGAGGTAGCAGGAAAACTGTCATGTGGTGTCATGGAGGGAAGTGTGGCCAGCGGTGCCTGTTGCTGCTGAGAAGCCAAATGGAATTTGGATTTGGCAATGTGGAAGTGGTTTAGTTACTGGAGGGGAAGGTGTTAGTGGAAATTTTAGAACAGAAGCTGGGTTAAAGCTGGTTGAAAAATGAGAGGGTGAAAATGGGAACAACATAGACAGTTATTAAAGGTATTTGGCGAGAGAGGCACTGGGGAGCAGAAAAGGTATGCCATTGTATGAGGATGTTTTGGTTGCAAATAACAGAAAACTCTGATTCAACTGGTTTAAATGGTGAAGGAAACTTATCTTATTCAAGAGTTCCAGAAGAAGGTGGCTCGACAATGTCATCAAAGACCTACAAGTTTTTCCAGCTCGCTGTGTGACTTGGACCTCGACTGCTGTCTCAGGATGTTACCATAATTCAGACATCAAATCGGATAGTACAGTCTTCAGCAGAAGGATGACTTTGTTGTAATCTTCCAAAAAAGCACACAGATCACAACCCCAGTGACCCAGGAGTCCCCTTGTTCCTCCTTGTCGACACCCACTTCCTTTGCCAGGATAACTACTATTCTGAATTCCAACACCATTGGTTATTTTTGCCTATTTTTGTGCAGTGTAAACAATCATATGTATATAGTATGTGCTCTTTTATGTTTGGCTTTCAACCTTGTTTTTGAGATCCATATTGTTGCATGTAAAGTTGTAAAGTGTTCATCTATTGCATGAATATACCACATTTTATCCATTCTATTGTTGATGGGCATTTGGGTAGTTGCTAGTGTTTGGCTTTTATAGGTGATTTCATTGTGAACATATGTACTCATTTCTGTTGAGTGTAAAATCAGGGGCAGGGTTTGCTTATATTTTTAGTACATAATTCCCAATGTGATTGTATGATTATACATTCCTACCAGCAGCATATGAGAGTTTCAGTTCCATGTCTTCACTGAACTTATTATTTTGTGTCATTTCATTTGGACATTCTGATGGGTGTGTAATGATGCAGTGCTGTGATTTTAATTTGCATTTCCTTAAGTTGATGAATGATATTTAAGTTGCGCATCTTTTCATATGCTTATTGACTACTTGGATTTTCTTTTTTGTCAAGTGCCTGTTTGGATTTTGAGTTAAGTGTCTTATTTATTAGCACAGTTTTGTGTTTTAGTTTTGGATATGAGTCATTGTCAAATATATGAATTACAAGTATCTTCTCACACTCTGGCTTGCCTTTTTACTCTTGAGGTTTTCACAAACAGAAGTTACTAATTTTTAATATAGTACAGTTTTCCAATTTTTCCTTTATCGTAGCATTTTGCGTTTTGTGCTCTGCCAGCTCAGGTATCATGAAAATGTTTTGTGTTTCTTCTAAAATCTTGATTGTTTAACTTTGGTATTTAGATCTATAGTCCAGCCCTGGCCAGTTTGACTCAGCAGTTAGAATGTCAGCCTGTGGACCAAAGAGGCTCGGGTTTGATTTGTGGCCAGGGACATGTGCCTGGGTTGTGGGTTTGATCCCTGGCCCATTCGGGGTCATGCAGGAGGCAGCCAATCAATGTTTCTTTCTCTCTCTTCCTCCCTTCCAGTCTCTCTAAAAATCAATGGAAAAATATCCTTAGATGAGGATTAACAAAACAAAACAAAAAAATAGATCTGTAGTCCATCTGTAGGTGGTTTCTGTATTTACTGTGAAGTGGGGTTCAAGATTCATATGAATGTCCAGTTGACACAGCACCATTTCTTAGTACTTCTCCATGCACTATGATGTTACCTTTGTCATACAGATCAGGTGACTATAGGTAAGGATCTGTTTCTGATGTCTGTATCCTAGTCTGTTGGTCAGGTCATCTATCTTTAGATAGCCTTTTCTTTTTAAAAATATAAGTTACCTAGTTTTGTTCTTGTAATCTCTTTAAGGTCTCATTGGCCGGCATTGGGTCACATGACTACCTTTAGGACAATTGGTGGAAAGGAGAGTGGCTATTGCTACTTAGGATTTATCTCTAAATCTTATAGTAATGAGGTAGACTCTCAGAACAAAAGTCTAGTAATCAGGTAGAGGAGGGGGATAGCTCTTGGGTAGGCTACCAACAGTGTTTTCTTATGGTTTAATACATTTATTTTTTAATTTGTTTTTTAAAGGTAAGGGCTATCTGAGCATATTAAAAGTTGATGGGAGGTTGTACAACAATGTGAATGTACTTAATGCCACTGAACTGTACATTTGAAATGGTTCAAATGGTAAACTGTATGTTATATAAGTTCACCAGAATATGGAATGAGTTTTTGAGAGGGAATGATTAATATATGGGTAAGGGAAGGGATCATTGATACTGTGAGAATGGAGGAGTTACATGGCACGGGTGAAGAAACTGACCGGATAAGGAAGAGGAGGAATGCCTTTATTGCAACAGTAAAGGAGAAAAGATAGGGCTAGTATGGGCTTGTTTTTGGTTGTAGGTAACTGAGAGTTCTCCTTAATGTCTCCAGTTTACTCTTTGAACTAGCTGCAGACGTCATCTGCTGAGAGAGAAGGGAGTTGGAAGTTCGAGGACAGGACACAGGATTTGAAATGATCATTTTTACAGACTTAGAGAATGATTTGATCTAGAATGATGGCTCAACAATGTTGAAGGCCCCTTCGGGTTGTTTTACTCGTGAAGAATCTGTTATACTCTGCTGTTAATTCTCTCCAGCAGCACTTGGCTACATAGATACAGACATGGAGAAAGCAGAAAGTAGGATTGATCCAGAGTTGGGGCTTTGCCATAGAGCCAGATGTAGACGAAGGCACAAAGGAGTATAAAGAATTAGTAAGCACGTGAATATGACATGATGAACCAGTGGCTCTCAAGCTAGCTAAATAAGGAAGTAAAAAAACAAAGTGGAGCCCTGGCCGGTTTTGCTCAGCGGTTAGAGTGTCGGCCTGCGGTCCAGAGAGACCCAAGTTCGGTTCCCGCTAAGGGCATGTACCTCGGTTACAGTTTGTCCCCGGCCCTGGTTGGGTCGTGCGGGTGGCAGCCACTCGATGTGTCCCTTTCACATCGATGTTTCTCCATCTCTGTCTCTCTCCCTCCCACTCTGTCTGAACAAAAAATGGAAAAATGTCCTCAGGTGAGGATAGAAAAACAAAGTGGATAAGTCATTGGGTTGGACATTCTGAGGAGGTAGTAGGAATAGTTGAACAAGATGGAAGGAACTAGGTTATAGGGGAGAGTGGGATGCCTGAATTCATGATTTTTGAAGTTTAAACAGTTTTGAGTGCTGATAAGTTTTGAGGGAGAGGGGCAGTGGTGGGTGTCTGAGCTAGGGTGGAGGAAGAGATCAAAGAAGATAAGCCAGGCAACTTAGTACTTGACAGTTTACAAAGTACTGTTTTAACACAGTATCTGACCTTTAGTACCTACCTCAAACCAGGCAGGACAGAATTATCCCCATTTTAGATGAGAAAGCAAGCCCTAAGAGGATAACTTTCTAAAAGCCCCACGGAGAGTTAGTGATTGGACTTCACTGTTTCTTTTCCTAACTTTCATGCTCTGTCCACTATAGCTTAGCGGAAGTGTTGTGTGGAAGATCTAGGAATTATGTTTCTGGAGATTGGGAGTCTTGCTGACATGCAAAAGAATAGTACAGAAAACCATACAACTAATAAGAAGTTGGGCATAGATTGAAATGTAGGTAAAATATGTGCAGGAAATACTCCAGAAATATGAAAGGTAGTTATTACTGGGTAGTTGTGATCGTGACTCTGGATGACTTTTTCCCTTTGTTTTACTTTTCTGTATTTTCCAAATTTCCTATAATGGACATAAATGGGTTCTTAAAAACTAAAAAAGTATTTTTTAACTAAGTTATAAATGGAAAATTCAAAAAGTACCAATAGAAATGCAATATGGTGTAATTAATTTATTAAAATAAAAATGTGAATAATTTTCTTGTTTGACTTTTTAGAAATGCACTTGGTGATGGAAAGAGAGCCATTATTCTGAAGAACAATTGGACAAAGGTAGATTTTTTTATTTATATTTTACCTTGGGCAAATAGTGCCATGCAACTTGGTGAAGAGTCTGCTCTCAGGATGTATATTTGTATATAAAAATGTGGATAAAATATGCAGGGCTCAAGAATGTGACAGGGAGTTGTTAGTTCCACAGTCAGAAAGGAGGAGCACAGCAGTGAGGCCGTGCGGGTCTGAGGGGGACAGGTCGCCCATAGGAATCTTGAGGGCACTTTAGCCATTGAGATGGCAACATCTGTACACCAAGTGAATTAACAGCTATTGGAAAGTGAAACTTAAAACTTGGAACTATAGGAGATGGTATTTGTGTATAAGTCCTTATGCACAAATCAGTGAGAAAATATAAATTCGATTATATCAAACTTAAAAACTTCTGTATGTCAAAACACACCATGAATGAAATTGTAGTCTGGGAGAAGATAATTTGTCATATATAAAACCTATATAACTGATAGGATTTATGTCCAGAATATGCAGAGAAGTAAAATAAAAGCCCAGTAGAAAGGGGCTAATAAACAAGCATTTCACAGAAGAGGAATTCTGAATGCGCAATAGAAATAAACTAAGCTGTTTCCCAGTAATTACAATTGAACAGGGCCAGAAAAGTGAAACCAAGAGACTGAATAGAGAGCTTCTAAACAGACCCACATGTACATGAATAAATAAAAACAATGTGATACTGTTTGGGTCATTCAGATTGGCAAAAATTAATGAGACCAATAGTCCTGAGTATTGGTGAGTGTGTGTACCAGCAGGAACCCTCAGTAAACCAGTGGAGTTGAATTGGTTACAACCACCTTGGAGAGCGCTGTAATGTGCACAAGCAGAAATTATTTGACTCTAAGAGTGTGTACCCACAAACATTCTTGTATAGTGTGCGTGGTGAAATGTACAAGGTTGATCATTGCACCATTGTTTTAATGGCACAGAACTGCAAATACCTAAATGCCCATTAATAAAGCAGTGGATGCCCTGGCCGGTTTGGTTCAGCGGTTAGAGTGTCGGCCTGCGGTCCAGAGAGACCCGGGTTCCGTTCCCGCTAAGGGCACGTACCTCGGTTGCAGTTTGTCCCCGGCCCTGGTTGGTCGTGCAGGTGGCAGCCACTGGATGTGTCCCTTTCACGTCGATGTTTCTCTCTCTCCCCCCCCCCCCTCCCACTCTACCTGAACAAAAAGTGGAAGAATGTCCATGGGTGAGGATAAAAAATAAAAATAAAAAAATAAAGCAGTGGATGAATGTAGTTTTTTTCCACTTGATCAAAGTCATTACTATGATCTATTTGATCCATTCCCTGCCTTGAACACACCCGTTATTTCTCCAACCTCACTCCTACTGTTCTTTCCTTTTTTCACTCCCTTGTTCACTCTGTGTTGGCCCACTGGCCTTACGGTTCCTTAAACATGTCAGGTCCACTCCCAGCTTATACTCACTCTTCCCTGTGGCAGAAATGAGAATGCCCCCCACCCCACCCAGCATGAGCTAGCTCCCTAGTTCCCTTATTTCCTTTCATTGTTCACTGAAAGTTCTCTTCCCAGTGAAACCTTCCCTGGCCCCAGTGCTAAAATGCCAAACCTGCCCTTTCCTACACATTGGCTCTCCTCTTTTCAAGCTTTACGTTGTTTCCTCTTGCGATTTATCATTATTAAACATGCTGTATATACTATTTACAGTATGTTGTTTGTGGTGTGCTTGTAGTCCAATGTGAGCTCCATGAGAACAGATTTTATTGTTTGATTTCATTCTTTTTTTTTTTTTTTATCCTCACCCGGGGACATTTTTCCAGTTTTTATTCAGATAGAGCAGGAGGGAGAGAGAGGAAAAGAGAAAGAGAAAAACATCGGTGTGAAAGGAACATGTCGAGTGGCTGCCACCCGCATGACCCAACCAGGGCCGGGGGACAAACTGTAACCGAGGTATGTGCACTTAGCGGGAACCGAACCCGGGTCTCTCTGGACCGCAGGCCAACGCTCTAACCGCTGACCCAAACTGGCCAGGGCTGTTTGGTTCAGTCTTGAATCCAGATTGCCTAACAAGCTGCCTGGCACATAGCAGGTCCTCATTAGTAAATATTTGTTGACTTGGTGCATGAATGAAGTGAAGACTAGATTAAAGCAGAAATGATAATTGGGTTATCAGCCTTTATAGATTTGAAGATCAGTGTTTAGTGAACAGAGCAGTAAAAGCATAATATTCTAGAAAAATATTTATCAAACTCATGATAGTGTTTGCTTCTGAGCAGTGAGAGATGGAAAGATTAGAGATGGTACAAAGGAGAACTCAGCCATATTTGTATAGTTGTACTTCTTTCATTAAAGAATCTGATGCAGTCCGGCTGGTGTGGCTCAGTGGTTGAGCGTCGACCCATGCACCAAGAGGTCACTGGTTCGATTCCCAGTCAGGACACATGCCCAGGTTGTGGACCCGATCCCCAGTCAGTAGCATGCAGGAGGCGGCCAGTCAGTGTTCTCTCTCATTGATGTTTCTCTCTCTCTCTCCCTCTCACTTCCTCTCTCTAAAATCAATAAAGGAAAAAAAAAATTTTTAAATCTAATGCAAACATAACAAAATGTTAACAGTTAATTCTGGTGTTTGTTATAATAATCTATATTTTCCTAAATTATAAAAATACCAGATCTTTTTTTAAGTAGAGCTTCATTAAGACAGAGAAAGATATGTGTTTCAGGCTTCATTCCTGGCTTTTCATAATTTGTTTTTAAACCAGAGAGTAGAATCGCAGAATTTTAAAGTCCCCAAATTGTGATTCAGGTGGTCTAGGAGTGTAAAATCTGGGGATTATAAAACTCCCCAGGTGGACTTCTGCATCCACATTTTGCAGTCACTTTTGAAATATCTTATTTTACAGATGACGAAATTAGGTCCCAGAAAGGTCAAGTGACTTTTGCAAGGTGCCATTGCAAGTAAAAGACAAAACTGTATTGAGGGTGATCAGTTTTTTGCTGTTTTCATTATGAGTCATTGTGCTTGAGACAGTCTTTTGCTGACCACTGTACCTGGCATTTGGCAGCTGCTCTGCAAATATTTTCAGAATAAATGGATGGTAAAATTCTTAACACTGAAACCCAGACCATGATACTGGTTTTCCAGAGTATCGATACCTTTTGCCATTTCAATTTAGTATCAATTTAGAAAAGGATTACTAAAACTTTTGAATGACTTCTGGTACTTTATTTAGAATGTTTATTCTGGGCTTAATTTATCAAACAAAGTATTTACTCTTCTTTTCAAGACTTTTTTTAGAGCAGGTTTAGGTTCGGAGCAAAATTGAGAGAAGAAGCCTGGCAGGTGTGGCTCAGTTGGTTGATTCCCGGTCAGGGCATATGCCCAGGGTGTGGGCTCGATATCCGTTAGGGGGTGTACAGGAGGCAGCCAGTCAGTGTTTCTCTCTCATAGATGTTTCTTTCTGTCTCTCCCTTCCTTGCTCTCTCTCTAAAAAACAAACAAAAAACAATAAAAACATATTTTTAAAAAATTAAGAGAAGGAAGGTACAGAGATTTCTCATAATCCTACTACCCCCCACATACATACCCTTCCCCATTGTCAAAGCATCCCTTGACAGAGTGGTACATTTGTGAAAATTGATGAACCTACACAAACACATCGGAGACCCTGAGTTCACAGTTTATCTTTGTGTTCACTGCCTAGGTGTTGTACATTCTGTGGGTTTAGACAAATTTATAATGACATGTATCTACCATTATGGTCATACAGTGTCTTTTCACTGCCCTAAAAACCCTCTGATTGCCCTGGCCGGTTTGGCTCAGTGGTTAGAGCGTCGGCCTGCGGTCTGGAGAGACCCGGGTTCGGTTCCCGCTAAGGGCGCGTACCTCGGTTGCAGTTTGTCCCCGGCCCTGGTTGGTCGTGCGGGTGGCAGCCACTCGATGTGTTCCTTTCACATCGATGTTTCTCTCTCTCTCTGTTCCTCTCTCTCCCTCCCACTCTACCTGAACAACAACAACAAAAAAACCCCTCTGATCTGCCTATCCATCCTTCTCCTCAAGCCCTGGTAACCATTGATCCTTTTACTCTCTACAGTTTTGCTTTTTCCAGATTATCATATAGTTGGAATTAGATAGTATGTAACCTTCTCAGATTGGCTTCTTTCAGTTAATAATATACATTTACGTTTGCTCCATGTCTTTTCATGGCTTGATAGCTATTTCTTTTTAGTGCTGAATAATTTACATTGTCTGGATGTTCTACAATTTATTTACCCATTCACCTGCTGAAGGACATTTTGGTTGTTTCCAAGTTTTGGCAGTTATGAATAAAGCTGCTATAAACATATGTGCAGGTTTTGTGTGGACATAAGTTTTTAACCTCCTGTGGATAAATACCAAGGAGTGTGATTGCTGGATCAAGTGATGAGAATTTATTTATTTATTTTTAAATTTCTATTTATTGATTTTAGAAAGAGGGAGGGAGAGAGAAACGGGATCTGTCATTCCACCCATTTATGCATTCATTGGTTGTGTCATGTGCCCCAACAGGGGATCGAACCTGTAACCTTGGCATATTGGGACAATGCTCCAACCAACTGAGCTACCCTGCCAGAGCAAGAATGTATATTTTTTAAGAAACTGCCACAGTGGCTTCCAGAGTGGCTGTACCATTTTGGACTCCCACCAGCAGTGAGTGGGAGTTGTTCCACATCCTCCTGTTCAGTGTTGTCAGTGTCCTAGTTTTGCCTATTTGACTAGGTGTGCAGTGGTACCTCGTTGTGGTTTTAATTTTTGTTTCCCTGATGGCATATGATGTGAAGCATCATTTCATGTGCTTATTAGCCACTGTGTGTCTTCTTTGATGAGGTCTCTATTAAGGTTTCTGGCCCATTTTTTAATCAGTTGTTTAATTTTGTTGAATTTTAAGAATTCTTGCCCTGGCCTATTTGGCTCAGCGATTAGAGCATCGGCCCACGGACCAGAGAGTCCCAGGTTCAGTTCTCGCTAAGGGCGTGTACCTCAGTTGC